CGCGCAGCCACCGCCGGCGCAGCGCGGCCGCCTGGCAGCTCCTCGCCGCTGGAGCAAGGGAGGGATGTTACCATTGTTCCAGGGAATGAGATTGTGGCTGGGTTTGGCAGGCATCCTCCCAATGAAAAGGCCCGCACTTCTGTTCCTGGAAGCATGCCCCCGTGCAAACTATTTCAAGTTGGCCGGGAGGATGCTTAGCGCTCGGTAGAAAATGTTCAGGTCTGTTTTGAAGGGAGAGGTGAGAGCTTGCTCACAGGTTTGGGAAAGGCCCCACGTTGGCGCACGCTGTTTGTATCCCTGCCCCGCCACTTCTGTTTATTGTCTCTCTCAGATGTATGCAGAGAAGTGTATAAAACTGCTTACTTGCTAGGTTAAAAAAGAGCATCGAAACTCTTCAGTGAACACACACTGCACTAAATTTATGCTTTGTTGAAATTTAGGTTTACAGAAGCTTTCAGAAATGAACTCTAATTTTGTTTAAATTCCAGTGAAACTTGCTTTAAAAAAGGGGGGGGGAGGGGAAGCTGCCTTCTGCACTGGAAGTGAAACTAATACTTTCTTTCATTGGTCAAGCCCTGAGAAATGAAAAAGTGAAGCCAATTCCGTTGTAAATGCCACAAATTTGAATAATCTAAGAGATAATTAGTAAATTGCAGTAGATGAGGATTTAAACACATTTTTTACCTTTACAGTTTTCCTTTCCTCCGTTAGTCTGGGGGAAGCTGAGTAGACATGGTGACTCCACTATTGCTCCTTTTCCAGTGCAGTTGATAAGAAAGAATCTGGCTACCTTTTAAAACTGCTGTAATGTGATATATGCAAGCAAAAAACTCTAAACCCTATACTATACAAACCCTTGTGCACATGTTTAAAATTTACACAAGGAAAGCCTGGATTCATCTGGGCTACTCAGCCTTTTTCCCCTGTCACTTTTGTTTTCTACACAATAAACTTTCCATAGCATACATCTGATTTACAAGCCTGTGTTGTCACAGTAAATAGTATGAGAAAACTGGTTTTGTGTTTGGAGCACAATCTGACAGTCAGAAAATCTGGGTATTCCAGTGCTTCAAGAGCCTTCCTTTGTGATCTTAGGCAAACCACTTTAACTTCTCTCTGCATCACCTTCCCCATCTGTAAAATGGGGTTAAGACTACTTGTCTGCCACCCAGAGCTTAACAAACTGGTACATATAAAATGCCTTGAGAGCTTTGTACAACCTTTGAGTGCCATTATCCTGTGTTGAACAAATCATCCATAAAAAGGCACATTTTAAAGGTGATAGGCAAAAGACTGTTTTTTGGTAAGAAATTGGTGCTGTGTCCCATAATGAATCATAAGGAAGTGAAAATGGTCCTGAAATATTTTTATAGCATTCTTGTTTAAGCACAACTATATCACTCATTTTTAAGCATGGAAATGTCAAAAGTATAAAATCTCATCCTCTTCTCTCTTGCTGGAAGACCAGTTAGAGGTACAGGATATTTGCTGGGTGAAGCACTTAGTGAAGCATCTTTGAAACCAGTGGGCATGATAGTTGTTCTTTGTTCAGGATATATGTAAAGCAAAATTAAGCTCCCTTACTGAATACATCACTGAAACAAATAGGAACCACCAACAAAATACATACCCCATGCAATCTTGGTGTTGCAGTTATGCCAATGGCTGACCCTGGTATCTAAGTGCAAAACTTGGTCTGGGTATTGTTTAATGAACTACACATTAAAAAAGGAGCAGAAGCAGGAGCATACAGAAAGAGAGCAAAAAAGGCCTAGATCATGTTTGTAACATGATCCTAGAAAAATGATAATTAAGAGATCTTTGGAGGTACAGTGCTTGCTGGAAAGAGGCTTGGAATCATGAGCTAAGAAACTTTCCTACCATTTGAACAGGACTTTATAGTCATTATTTGTAAATAAATAATTGCATCAATTAAGTCATTGCTAATTCCTCTTCTTACTAGAAATAAAATGCAAGACTGAATTCTGACTAGGCACTCAAAGTAGCAAAAGCATGTTTACGGTCAGTTCAGTATACCTGAACTGAAAGATGAAAGACACAGTAGTCAGTATCTATCTGTCTTGCAAGACAATAAAATTACACCGAGTGGGACATCAGCTCGCTCAACATACTCCTTTCTCGAAAATAAAGTAAAGCTAAGTGACTGTGCCAGTATGTTTGGAACCAGCTTGGCTACACTGGTGAAAACATATAGTGTTCACATCTTAATCAGAATTGTGTTACATTGTTTGTAACCAAGGTAAAAAAAACCAACACAAAAAAACCACACAACAATTTAAAAGGTGACTTTCCCCCATTAGAATTAAATGGGTGCATCTACGCATGGCTGCATGGCTACGTTGCTATGGCACCGTCCTTTTGGAAGTACTAAAGTGTGGTGCAGTAACTGCCTGTACTGTGCTGTGCGCACAGCGCATGCTTAGATTTCACTGCTGTATTGCTGTAACAGGGGAGTGCGCCACAGCGCCGATGTAGCTGCTGATCAGATCCACATTGCTGTAGCACGTCACTACATCGCCATAGGGCGACGTGTAGATGCACCCAATGTTACATTTATGTAATTCCTCCCACCCTTTACCAAGTCCATACTTATGTATACATGTAGTGTCAGGACACAGCCCATCCTATAGTAAAAGTAAATGGTAGATTTGGACTTTATTGCAGTACTTTGTACTGATTTGCAGCTCCCACAGGATAGTCAGTTTAATGGTTTAAAAAAAATACATCTCAGTGTAGAAGGACACATCCAAATAGCTTTTGAGCTTGGGGAAGGAAGGAAGGAAGGCACTGAGAGACAAAGTTCTCTGTTGTCTTTGAGGCAAAACTCAAAATGCACTGAAATACTCTGTTTACAGGGAAAGTACAAGCTATAAGGAGGCTACAGAGGATACTCAGCAACTTCCCTGTAAGACAGCACTTTCCTCATAAGTATGTCTACACTGTGGGGTGCACTAGACTCTATCTGAGCTAGCTCTAAATTAGCTTTAACCAGTCTCTAAAATAAACTAGTAAAAGTGGTGCTGCTAGAAAGGGAATGGATTTTCCCCTCCTAATGCGAGTGAAAGTTGAGCTTAGCAGAATGAATTAGGAATGCAGAGAAAGGCACTGTGGGGAACGTCAAGTGGATGGTTAATTGGCTCATGCTCAGTATGGCTCCCATCCCCCCAAGCCCCACAGAGAAAAGGAAAGCAAGAAACATTGGGACAAATCTGTAATTTCTATTCACACCTAGGAGTTGCAAATGAGGCAAGGCTCTTGTGGAGCAAATGATCGCTACCTTCAGAGTATAGCATAGCACATCAGCTGGGTCCCAGGACAGCTTCCATGAGCGGCAGCAGTGGTGACTTGTAGCAGCTGCTCCCCAGCATAAATCCCTTTTATGTGGGTTTGCCAAGGGGAGCCATCATTTGCCCTCTGTAAAACTCAGAGTCCTTAAAGACTCCTTGACAGTATGCCCAAATGCCAACTTTATCATGCTCCCACTCAGCAGCAGAATCTCTTCCTGAATGCCTGTCTGTGCATATATGGCATTGCCTAAACACTTACTTTTTTGTAGAGCTCACAGAAGTTTATGCAAGATAGAGCCCTACATTACAATACCAGAGATCATTATGCTTAACTTATTGTGTGAACACTTAAAGAAGAATAAAAGATTGCTTAGCAACAGTGTATGGGAAAAGATTTGAGAAAATGCCAAGGTTTTATTCCTGGATCTCTTACTTCACTTCATTTTACTTCCCTGTGCCTCTGTTTTCCTAGATCCAAAATGGAGATCAAGTCTAGCCCAGGCATTCATAAATAAATCACTCCAGCTACAAACGTGAGAAAGAGTGCTACCAGACTGGCAGGCATTTAATATATAGGAAACATAATGTAAAACTATACATGCATTGGCATTAGCAGATTCCATATAAAGTACCTTTAGATTCACGTATGCAGATTCAACATATTCACATATCTTGCAGGGATAACACAACTTACCGCTTTGTAAAACACTTAGAGCTTCATATGAGAGCTGAGTGCAATGATTATTATTCCTCATGGAAACCACCATTTTTTCCTTATCTCTTTGAATAGAAAAACAAAAGCAACAAGACACACAGCTTGGAAAAAACCTTTGTCTTAAAAGATCTCAATGTCCTCACACAAAAAGACATGAAAGAGCAATGTTACAGTGTACTGATACATATTGCTCAACATATCTGCATGTTCCCAGTTTGATTCCAAGAAAGCTTAACACACGCTTTTGTCTCTAGCTAACTCCTCTTCTGCTTTTTCCCTCAGACGGCAGCATCTTGTGAGAAATACATAATGTACGCTGATAATTCATCGTCAGAACAAGCTGTCACTTTAATGATGTATTCATGTGATATATCATCATATCTAGTGAAGCATACTGATGTAATCCAAAGCCAATACTGTCCAGGGAAGCAAAAACAGAGAAGAAGATTTAATAACCTGAACAATGTAGAAATCAGTTAATATTCAGCATCTAAGAAAGCAACCTTTGCTATATACAAGAGGATAAGAATATTGACAAGAACTTCTTGTAATATTTCTGATATCACATCACTAATATTTAAATCAGTGCAACAGAAATTAATTCTTCAGGTGACAGCAAAAGCAAACATTTTTTTCAGTAAAAAAGTGGACTCAAAGTGATAAGTTTTAGTTGTGTTCTAACCATAAGTGGTTTAAAATGGAGC